GAGGACAGCCCTGTCAGACACCACTTGATGTGGTGAACTCAGGAGAGAGCTTCCCGTAGACCTTTACACGGTTGCGGGAGTTGGAATACAGCGCCTTAATGAGGGTCAAGAATTTATGGGGGACACCTTTGCTCCACAGTGTTGTATATTTGCTCTGCTTTTCAAACGTTTCATCATTTATCGCTAAATCACTTTCATCCATTTCCAGCTCTCAGTGTCAAAGTTTTGGATGAATAAAGCCTAGTTTTCGGGCCCTCAGTCTTTTCCATTGTCATTCTGATTGTCGTTGCACTCCGACCCTCGTCGTACACAACAGTCTGATAGACACACTTCAGAGAAAGCAAAGATGAGTGACACTGCAGCCTTCGATCGTTGTACATTACTTGGGGTTACTGAGAACTGAGAACGGAAAACAGGCAGATATGCGCGTACACAAAGAGATAACAGGTTCTAAGGGACTCACTGACTGATCTGTTGTTGGGGATTTTCTGCGCAGTATAGTAGATCCGGAGGCCAAAGGGGCATGCCTACTAGGAACAGTAAGAGTGAGTCCGGAATTTTTTACGCCAGAAACCGTACTTGGCGAAGGGTCAGGGTCGAGTTTCACATTAGGCATAGCTGAAACATCATGAAAAAGGCCAGTAAGAGAGCGAGTATTCACCAGAATCCGTAACGAGGGAATTAGAAGGTAACGGTTACTTCCATTAACTAATGCGTCCAGCACCAGAAGTTGTGTTGGTTGGGAAATGTGTTGCGTATGTCGAACCATTGTTTGCTGTGCTTCTTTCCATGCCCAACTCAGAGTGGCGGAAGCAGAGGTGGCCAGCCATTGACCTGGTAGACGGGTATGAAGAACACAAAACGTTTGGGTGCTACTCGCCTTCCAGGATGGAGACCGCATGATCCTCACTGCGCCTGGTTGGAGACGCTGAAAGACATGGCTGTCAACCGATGTTAGCGGCGACCTTGTTGTCAGTGTCTATCCAGATTGCCTGAATGAGTGTCTGGAGGGGTACGCACCTGGAAACGATTGTAGTAAGTTTGTACTAAGTCCATTCCCCGCCCACTTTTATTCTTTCCTTCATAATAACGCCCTCAAGTAAATCATGTTCGTACGGCAGCGAAGCATTGGTGTTGAACACTTATGCCATGCTGTCGATGATCATGATGATGATGGCCATCCTGGAAGGTGTACTGCTCCAACAACACTCCAGCTCTTCGGAATCTCTTTCAACCCCTCCTGCTAAGTCAAACGTTGTCCACCTCACTGTTTCCATCATTCTGACGAAGACGAAACATCCACCACCATCAACGGCGGGAAATCGGCCATGTTCCAGACCGAGGTAATCTACCGAGTGTTATTCTCTGTCTTCGTCGGTATGACGGAAACAGTGAGGTGGACAACGTATGACTTAGCAGAGAGGTTGAAAGAGATTACGAAGAGCTGGAGTGTTGTCTGTTGCACAACCGGAAACTCGCCTTCTAACTGCCTCGTTAAGGACTCGCTGACATCAAGCCACACATGCTCTGGTTGTGAGATAACGATTGTCGAACACCTTAATGTCTCAGTTACACTGCTCAAACAGGCCAAGTCTTACTGCCATACGACAAAATAGCCTGCACTGTAGCTTGATACACACGTCCCTTGCGATTCAGGAATACATTACTTTGACGGCATAGGTGTCTCAAATTAGCAAACGCGACCCGAGGCTTACAGATTCGTGCATTGGCCTCAACTGCGAGTCAGAATTAATACAACTTCCAAGATACGTTAAACGCCCCACAAATTCCAGTGTCTCTGTCTGGATTCCTGAAACAGCTTCTCATCTCAGAAGAGTCCTGTGACGCCTCAGGCGCATGGCAAGTTCGATTTACTCTTCTTCTTAGTACTGGGGCGGTGGCCACAGTCACGACTGGGTGGTGGGCGATTGGTGTACGCTCCATAAATTCCAGTACCTCTCCCTGAATTGTAAGTGGCGTGTTCAGTGAATGCATGTACACGAGTACGACCTTACACTTTGTGGGTGCAAAGTGCAAACTAAATGAAAGGTTGACCTAAGTCAGTTCACCCAAAAACACTACGCCTTCTCATCGAAGATGAGAACGATGTCACCTGCACATTCCAGATGGACAAGATTTTCGTTACAAGCCATTAGAACACCGGTGTTTTGAAGATCTGCAAGCGTTTGTCTCATGGTTTCATCGGTCATGAGGTTAAATAAGAATGGAAACATCGGGCATCCCTGACAGACACCGCTTAGTGTGCGGAAGCCGTTGGAGAGCTCGCCGTATACTCTCATACCTCCGGAAGTCTGGGAATACAAAGAGGTTATTATGTTCACAAACTTCCAGGACACTCCTTTGCGGACAAGCGTGTCAAGAACAGACCGGTCAACCGAGTCAGATAGGCCTTGGAAATCCAGGAATACTAGAATTGTTGGTCGTTTATACGTATGGCCAACACAACCCCTGCCAGGCCGGAGCCCCGCTTGCTGCTCTTAGATCAGTGTTTCACAAGGGGACGAAGCACGAGTGACGTTGGCAGTCTCGTTACGACCGGGGTCAGGCTGATCCCCCTGCGGTCACCACACTAGCTACGAGCCCCTTTTTGAAAATGGGCACTACCACCGACTCTCCCCAGTTGTCTGGAAGATTCTCTTTCCCAAATGCTGGCAAACAGATCAGGTAAGCGCTCATCATCATCATCATCGTCAACAGCATGACACCAGTGTTCAACACTGATGTTCCACTGCCGTGATCAGGTAAGCGCTAACTGAGGACTGCGCCCCATCTTTGAACAACGCAGGTGAGAGGTTATACGGACCAGGAGCTCGGTAGCGCTTGAGAGAACACGCAATTTTAAACCTCCGAGGCTGCAGGTGGTTCCACGTTTACCGTCCAGGTCTCTACGTCAACTGTAGGCTTTTGATGAGTGGCAGCTGGTGGCCACCACTGTTGATCGTAGTACTCTGCCCATCAATTGAGGCGTCCTTCTTTATGCAAAATGGTCACTCCTTCCTAATCCTTGATGATTTCGTTCACAGGTGGCTTTCGGGGACCGTTCGCGCGGATCAACTGAAGTAATCTTCGGGCATTATCGGCTTTCTGGGCCTCGACCATTTCTTTGGCTTTCTGTGTCCACCACACTTCACGTTCGGCTCGCACGCTCACTTCCACTTGACGTCTGGTAGTTGATCACGTCAAGTTATGTTCGGCACGGGCTGGAATATTTCTCCAGGATTGAAACAGTGCCGTTCGGTCTGATATCCAGTGCTTGAGTGTACCTGGTGGTGAAATGCCACAGGCGAAATTCCGAGCACTATGCAAAGAGGTGGCAATCTCGTCTCAGTATGAGTCCACATCTGATGGTGGAGCATTTGGAAGAGACCCTAGAAGACGATTCTAGTAAATTCGTCTAACATCCGGGTTTGCCAGTCTCGCAGTTGCCAAGCGATTTGTCCGCACCCTGCGCGGCCCAAGAAAACGGACGAGTGCGTGATCAGAATCCACAAATATGTTCCAAAACAACCGTCAGTCAGTTATTAATCCGCGCCATCGGTAACTGATAGCAATCTGATTGATATGAGTTTGTGATCAGCATGCCGTTATAGGACGCCACGTTGCCAGACGACTTCGGCTATTCCGGAAGTTAGTACTGCACAAAAGCAGCCTGTGGTCAGCACACAGTTGAAGCAATCGCTCACTATTGTCCGTACGTATCTAGTCCATCCCATGTCGAAATCCTAATTGAGTCTCAGATACGCTAAGCCTGTCCACTTGTGCATTCATATTTCCTGCAACCACCACGGTATCTGAGTTTTTAGCACGCTGCAACCGGGCGTCGTAAAACTCTATGACGGAGTCGGAGCTACAGTCAGTTGTGGCGTAAGCAGACAAGATAAGCAGACATCGATCAACTTGCCGCTTGTGAGACTCCTTCACAGACGTTGTCAGACGAACCGCAGAGGAGACTATCTACAGGTATCCAGTCAAACAAGGATACGTCCGCCCGGCGACTTAGGACGATATCAACCCCTGCGCATCCCGCCGCAGCAGCCTCAGGATCATCAGAGGTGTGTAGCTGGAAGCGTTCGGACAGTGATGGGGCGGTTAGCTAAGTCACTGTGCTTGCATCTTGAATTCTTGTTTCTGAGACAGCACACATAGATGCCAAGCGAGTTCGGTGTGAGAGCAAGAGCCACTAGGGTACGAGGCTTGAAGAATCATTTCGAGATACCTAAGGACGTCGGTGCCATGTGACGAGCAAATGTTGCGCGCAAAACCGATGCAAGACAAATGAAGTCACCAGTCTTAAATGCTGGGCCTACAAGGTCATTAATTGGGTGGTGAAGGGAGGAACAAAAAATATGTAAAAGAGAAAGGGGGAGGCGTCAGCAGTAGACTATTTCCGCTTACCCGCCCTGCTGTATGCAGCAAGTAAGGCGACCCGGCTGATGGCACCGCGTGACGGCCCATGTGGCATGAGGGCATTGTTAGTTGTGGGTGTCATTGTTGTACGAGGGCTAGGATACTGTCAGGGTGCCAAACCTAGACAGGAGGACGATTAGGGTCGTCCACTGGCTCAAAAGCCTAACCGCAAGGCAGCGGTGTTTGGCGGGAAATACAAATGTATCACCATTCCTACGGGACAAGCTGCCACCTGTTCCAATCCCCCAACTTGGAGAACCAGACTTTTAACCACTGACACATCTGGTATGTTACCCTATGTCGCGGAGACATCCCCCTTTGAGGTGCACAAACCCTCATACCGCAGTCAAGTCGTCTCTTTGTTACCCATGTAATCACCAGATCCTCTCCCTCACATACTCTTCTCTTTTTCATTCTGTCTTGAAATATAATTAGACAATTAGTGATTGTACTGCAGTGAAGCATGTGTCAACACTGATATTTCTGTCTCTGACGATGATGAACAAAGTGCAAGGGGATGTTAGGAGGCTGCAGGTTCTGATATATGACCCCGTACTTTGTACGTTCAAGGCCCATGCTGAAAGATGTCATGATAAGTTTATTCAACACGGCTTGTGGTTTGACTTTCCTTTCAAGTATAACGACAATGTCATCTTCAGATCCGAGAGGTTCTCATGAGCAACGATTTGAAGATCAGAGTTTTGGGACCTTCCAGTGTATCCCGACGGCAAACTGATAGCACATAAGCTTTCGTGCTTCCTTCGAGTGGTATGGCAGCTAGGCACCGAGAGGATTACAAACGAACTAGGACGATGTTGACTATTAGCTGAAAGAAGCACGGTGCCACAGTAGGTGACGGCTGGCCAAGTTTGCCTTGGAATTCTCCGTCAGAGAACTAATCATCTTTCGCTAGCTAATCAGCAGTAATGCACCTACCAAGGCAAATAGACTGGTCCACCACGCCGGCTGATTCATCTGCAGGCCAAGTATGTTCGATTGCACGTGTAATGGAGAATTCTAAGGCAGATTTAACCAAACCACCTACTGTGGCACCGTGCTAATAGTACTCAACCTCACAGTAGTAATCAACATTCTGCAGGCACGCGTGCGAAAACATGCGGCCGGGTGAGCCATCAATCGAACTCTTGCATCCAAACTAAGTACAGTGATGTCACCGGTACACAAGACGCCGGTAGAAGTACGTTGAGAGCACTTGGACCCCAGTTGATAGAAGCAAGTAAGGAGATCAAGTAGGTTGGAAAGCGTGGGAGAGGGATCCTGACTTCTATGAAGGACAGGTATACCTCTTGTTATAACCAGACGGGCCCTTGTGTTTTATATACACTATCGCAGCATGTGACCATAGACGGAGCCGAGGAAAGCCCTGAAGTTAACAACTATTGGTGGTCAAACATGTAGTTTACGGAGCATTCGAGTGAGGATATCAAAAAGTGGACAGTATCAAACCTTGAAGGCGCTCGAGCGTTCGGATGGGTGACCATGCCTCAGAATGACAATGAGTCTGTCTCGTAGCCGGCCAGCAGGCATGTGTTTTGCGTTCAGTGAAATGCCTTTATGTGGAACGCAGCTCGCAAGGTTCGGTTGCCACCTATGTAGTTGCCAATTTT